ATATATATATATATATATATATATATATATCAGGGCATAATCTGCTGTACCTAGCCTGGACTGGCAGAGGCCGTGTATATATTGTACATTTAAATAATAAGTGTGTATTGTAAATATATGTAAATACAGACAGTGGACTTAGTTATACAGACTGACTAACAAATGACAGACCCGACCTCTCGTCAGAGAGGGCGCTACACATAGACAAGACAGTAACTTTCATTCAAAAGAAATATCTGGTCATGAGCCCCAGCTGGGGCTCGACACGAAGATAGAGAGACTGATTGACCGTCAGATGCAACCGGATCCTGCTCTGCTCTGCAATCAGTTCAACTCGAAACGGCAACGCAGTCAGAGGCATCAGCTCGACTTCTGCGACCGGGTAACTGACATAGTTGCCGCAAACTTCCAGCGAACGCATCTTCCGCAACCCAGCAACCGGCCGAGCCAGTCGATCCTACCGGTACAAGCAGCGGTGCATCACCGCCCAGACCGGCCAGCCAACGCTTGAATATTATACGTATTCTGTGTATTGAATTTAAACGATTCAATATATACAATTGTAGAGTTTCGTGTGGTTTGTCTGTTGGAGTATTGACGACAATCCCACAGTATCATTATTACAATATTCTCCTCCTGTTTCCTTACCAAACTTTGTTTGCGGCACAAAATTTAGTATCAATTACAGCTAAAGATGCACATTAATACTGCTACAATGAAATTGATGTGGTTTTTAAAATGACATTTTTATTCAAAGCAATCATACTTTTGTTAATTCAGGTCTGAACTTGCTGTATTCAACATGCAGAACCCAGTAATTAAGTCCTAAATAGAATTATAAGTTCACGATAAAAAGGTTCGTTCCTAAGTACTATTCTGATACCTTGACTGGAAAAAAGTGATGAAGCTCAAGTGATAAATCTTTTCTCTATTCCAGAGAAAATGCGTCATTCTCTTGTGAGCAACTTAGGCAACTGATTGCTTTCAACGTTTTAAAAGTAAATATATGACATTCAGGAGGATTTATTTTCCAGGACACATGTATGAGCAATCAAAAATATGTTTAACATAAATTGTACCATTTATTTAATGGGCGTTTGAATAGAATGATTTTTGATCTGTTAAAACTTCATGTATCTGTTTATCTACAAGATATTGCATGGCATATATGAAAGTCAAAAGGCGTCGTCATACAGTATATGCATGTGCATATGAACAAAATAGGCAAAACGTATTTACTACACTTTCCAGTTTCTTATCTATTATCAACATTCCTAAATCCTTATGGACCGTATATGATTATTACATAAGAGACTTAAGTTTCACACCGCATCATGGCCATCATGGCGGACAATGTACCGATGCGATGTTCTCCGACTGCATTTAACAAGTGTAATCAACAGATATATGAGATTTCACAATGTTCCAAATGTATTGAAAAGGAAGTAAATCTACAGGAAGCTCTATTAGAGATAAGTTCATTACACTTAATAAACAAACTTGTTACGAGCCCGACGCTCCGGCCGAAACTACGTTGGGAAAGCCTCTGGGATCTGGCAACACTGCCTTGGGAGACGCTTGGCAGCCCTGTATCCGCGGCCCACCCCCTAACGCCTGCGTTGGGAGGGGGCCTAGCAGGATGGTTGCTATGGTAGCATACCTTCTTACCGATTGTGCTCTCGGCCCTGGAGGCCATTTTAAATTTAGTTCAAATAAGCTGAAAATAGATGGCAGCAGCAATGCAACGAATGTTGCGAACCAATAACATAGTAGTTTCACGGGGCTGATCGTAGGGATCGTTCAAGAGAAATTCGATTTCGTCATATTTTGAGAAATTTTATGCTATTATTCCGCTGTTGCGAGTTCTAGTTGGGATTCTGCTGAACTTCGCAGCACTCATTGTGAGATTCTGAGGATGATGATTCTAGTGGAATGCACATTTTTACTGTTTTGTGTCCTATCTCGCCTGTTAGACATACTAATCAGACTTAAAAAGGAAGTCGTGAGAGCTGATGGTCGATGGCGAACTGGTAGAAGTTGCAGGGCATACAAATGCATTTTGCGGCTATGAGATGTAAATTTGTAGAGTAGGTTTGCTGTTTCTAGGAATTAGTTGTGTGCAGTCTGGTAGGCTTTTACCGACGTTTTGAGAGCAAGAGGTTCACTCAAAGTGGGTGAACTGTCTGCCTTCAAAACTAAGCAAGAATCTGTTAAGACTACACAACTTTTAATAAGGCACTAAGCTTCATAATCTCTGCCGGTCTCTGCTGTAAGAACAAAGAAATCCGCGTCATTCTATAACTTCCATATCACTATAGTTTTATCACTGTAGTTTTATATATGTACAACTTCTATATCACAAGGATTTTTGTAAATCCATTTGTCACCCACAAAAGCATGTGTGATAAAATAAAGTCAAGGTTATGAAAGATTCTGCATTCTCTTGCAGCAGGAATGCCGAGAATTCTGCTACAGAGAGCTGAAGAAAAATTTCCTGCTGAGACAAATGATGGTGAGTGTTTTGTGCTTGTGTGCACAGACAAGAATTTTGTCACGAGTCAATTCCCATATCTTAAGAACCTAAACTCTTCATGCCAAGCTTTTGTTAGTTTTCATAATCCATCTAGGGAGTTTACTTGGTTCATCACATTATAACCGTTTGGTATATTATGTAGGAGAGGGATTAATTCAAAGAGAGTGATATGGGTAGGTCAAGTAGCACACATATGAGAATGAGAAATGCATACAAAGATTTTGACAAGGCCTGAGAGAATGAGACAATTGTGAAGATGGATTTCAAAGGTACAATTATGGGGTTTTGGACTGGGTTTGTTCGTGTCAGGATGCAAAGTTATGATGGGCATGTGTGAAAACAATAATGAGTGCTTAGGTTCCATAAAGAGCAGATACATATTATCTGTACTTCCACAGGGACTACACGTTTCTCAGGAAGGTCCCTGCATTATGAACTTAACACTTCCTAAGATTATGAAGTCTGTAGAGAACAAATTTGTACAGAGCAACTGTTACAGGTTAGATGTAATGAGAAACAGCTACAGCAAGGAGAGCATGTATTGTTTCATGTATGGTGTTGTACAGCCGTGACTGATAGAAGATGTGATGCCTTTACAGAACTGTACAAATTCAGAGAAAGTTTTAGTGGGTCCACATGGTGAGACATACCCAGCAAGTCATGATGCAAACCAGGCCATGAATATAAAAGCTGAGGAAGTCTCAGACTCACAAGAAGAAGTGGATCTTCTGCAAATAACAGTTCAGGAAGCAAAGGCTGAACCTGAGGTGAGCTGTATGCTTTTGTATGTCCACTGTTAGGCAGATAGGCAGGAATTCTATCTCATCTCCATCTGTCTGGCTGGCTGTCTGTGCACAAAGAACAGCTTCACTGTGCTGCTCGTCTTTGAAGCCCTTTTTCTGAAGTGTCTCTAGACAGTTACAGTTTGTTGAATGTATGCTGCTTGTGATGTACCACTTCCATTTCCTTTTAAGCAGTTCTAACGCAGATAATATTAAATTTTACATAAAAGGAAAAGTGTTCGAGAGAAATTCTATAGCAGCAAAAATCCATAGAACTGTTTGTAGCTAGTTAACACATGTTAGACCCAAGAATTTAAATTACTAGAACTCTTGCGAGCTAATTCCAATGAGTCCTACAAGATATTTTTCATGTGTTGAAGGTTACAAAAGATTCTGCATTTGCTTACAACAAGAGTGGCAAGAATTGTACTGTATGGAGCTGAAGAAACATTTCTTGCTGTGAGAGAAAGTATTGTGTTTCATGCTTGTGTGCACAGACGAGTTTTATTTTCATATATCACTTCTCTTCGTCGTTGAAACTAAATATTTTGTGACCCACTTCTGTTTGTTTGCATGATCCATGTGGGCAGTTCCTTACACTTGGGTGATAACGATTTGGGATATTATGTAGGAGAGCTGTGAGTTCAAGGAGAGAGATGTGGGTAAGTCATGTAGTGCACATGCAACAGTGAGAAATGCATACAAAGAGAAAAAAAACACTTGGGAGACCCGAGTGCGAAATGAAAGTGGCTATTAAGATAGATTTTAAAGAAATAATTTGGAAGGGTTTGTACGGAGTCTGTTTGCCACAGAATATGGAACCATGTTGAGCACAGTAATGAGCCCTTTCTGCCTTTCTCAACAAATCCCCTATGCATTGCTCTTCTCCCCTATGCCTGCTATATGAGCTGCCCATCTCATCCTCCTTGACTTTAGCTTTTAGCTACAATAAATATCTTCATGGAGCTGAGTGAGTCAATGAGAAGCCACCAGTTGCTTGGCCACTGAAGAATTTCCCAACCTTGTATAGAACCTGGAAGTTTATTGACATGTTTGCAAAAACCCATCACAAGTCCTTATCTTGAGCCATATGAATCCAGTCCACACCACCCCATCCTATGTCTCTTAAAGATCCACTTAAATATTATCTTCCCACCTATGCCTGATCCTTCCTAGTGGTCTCTTTCCTTCTGGCTCTCTCAGCAAATCCTATATGCATTCCTCTTCTCCCCCGTGCCTGCTATATGAGCTGCCCATCTCATCCTCCTTGACTTGATCATATAATTATGCTTGGTTGAACAAAGGTCACAAGTTGTGGAGCTCTTCATTATGATGGTTTTAGGTACCAAAGAAAGCAGATATTTTCTGTACTGCTGCAGTGACCGATAGTTTCTCAGGAAGGTCACTGAGCTATGAACCGAGTACTTTCTAGTGATCTTGATAGCTGTAGAGAAGAACATCTGTACAAAACAGCTCTTATGAGCTAAATGTAATGAGAAACAGCCATAGCATGGAGAGCATACACTGTTTAATGTGCAGTGTTGTGCATCCATTTCTGAGAAGGATGTGATGGTTTTTACAGAGCTGTACAAATTCGGAGAACGCTTTAGTGGTTCCGCATGGTGAGACATACCCAACACCTCATGATGCATATCAGGTCATGAATGTGAAAGCTGAGGCAGTCTCAGATGCAGAAGAGGAAGAGGATCCTGTCCCAGTAACATTTCCGGAAATAAAGGCTGAACCTGAGGTGAGCTGTATGTGCACTGTTAGGCAGATGACACAAATGTGCAGAAATGCTGCTTGTCTTTCTGATATCCATCTCTGTGAACATGAAACAACTCCACTGCGCTGTTGACTAGATTTTGAAGGTCCCCCCCCTGAAATGTTTCTAGGCAACTGTAGTACGTTGAATGTTGCTTGTGAAGTACCACTCCACTAAGCAGTGCTTTGTTACTACATCATAGAGTTCCCGGGATCTATAAATGCTGAAGTTTATCATTTGTTTTCTGTCTTCGATGCAGTCTGTATCCATGTAATAACATAGAGCTGTCATTATATTGAGGATTTGTAACAGGATAACTAATGATTCTCTATAGCTTTGTGATAATGTTTGACAGATTATAAACACGTGTTGCCTGTTGCCCTTTGTTTGAAGTAAATTTAATATACCTGACACTGTTGGAGTTGCCTCTGTACCTGCTGTCAGGTGATTGGTTGTCATGACAATTTTTTTTGTTTTCGGTTAGACAGAACGGTGACTAAACGTTAGATACAGAGAATGTGTAAGAGATATAAAAACCAATAGTGAAGAACTGGCATTGGCAACACATCCTGTAATATAGACGCAGTGGTGATGAAGTGGAGTATACAGTGCATATAATTAAACACACAAATAAAGCTATTAATGGACATCAAAGAAAATTTCTACATGTAAATATAGACAGAGGTTCTTACTTTTCTCGGCCAGTTCACAGCGACTGATGCACCACTGGCTGCAAGGTGCATACAAATTTTGCCAGTGAATTAGTATGCCTGTGGCCAGTAACGTTTGGAATGAAGTATACAATTCACAGGTCACAGAAGGTGTTGAAAATGCTGCCCCCCTACATGTAGACATTCCTTGCACCAGCAGAAGGGGTTCTGATTAACCCTTAAAGCTGTTGTGCCAGATTTTTTGCTATTTCCCTATTAATTTTTTTTAGTTCTTCCTCATTTAAACTTTGTCCTGCAAAGAACCACAGAAGAATCTAAGAATAAGGTTGGGTGAATGTGCCTGCCAAATACCAGTGCTCATATCTCTCTCCCCGAAAGTACCAGGCAGAGCTTGCATAGACGTACATGAAATGTGGGCAGTAGCTTAGTCTTGCTGAAACCAGCCATAGAGTCTTTTTTTCTTTTGTAGCTCTTGAAAGAATGGTCTGAGAATGACCTGTACATAATTTTTTTTTACTTGGTGGGGGTGGGACTGAGTCCACTTGGTACGGCAGCCACTTTTGGCCAGTTGTACCAGCCCCAGATGATAGGTGAGGGTGGTTATGGAGCAGTTGGTGGAATGAAGATTGGCAGGGGAAATCAAAGTACTCAGAGAAAACCTGCCCCAGCACCAATTGTCCACCACAAATCCCACTTGACCAGACCTGGGATCGAACCCAGCCCCTGCTGTGAGAAGCCAATGACTAACCGCTTGAGCTATGGCGCGGCCTTGGAACTGTACATATGTTTCACAATTAATTGTTCCTTTAAAGAAACGCAGGCAGAGCAATCCTTGTTGCCCTTACAGCAAACCAGACTCCAACTTTCACTGGCTGGAGCCATACTTTGTGGGTTGGATGTGGATTTCATGAATTCCAGTAGCAATTAATTTTCATATTTATGTATCCCTGCAAGTGAACCCATGCCATGTCAGTTCAAGATGAATCTCATCTTCAGTGATCCACTGTAGAAACCAACTGCAAAAATGTACCTGCCTAGCTGGATCGCACAGCTGCAATGCATGCATTATTACTAGGGCCCAGATTCTTATGACCTAAAAACCATAAATATATGCATGCACTTATGACCCAAAAATGTAAAATATGACCTTAAATATTAAATGGGACATATAATTTCACAATTTTAATTCTAACTTTTACTAGAATTTAAGAATAAAAATGATGAATATATGATAGTAGGCCCTACTTACCAAATTAGCCTTATTGTGTTTCTGAAGGAAAGAAAACTGATGAAATTGCGACATTTCGTACTGGATTAAACCGTTTCTTGTTTTCTTTTTAATATTGATTTTTGCCTACATATTTTAGACAAACACTGGTGCACATGATAGAAGCATTAACTTAACTCTGTTAGCTAAAAACACAATATAGAAGAACACAAGCTTATTTGGCTCACAGTTTTCAGTGTTCCTGTAACACAAGATATTCACTTCTCAGTTTTCACTGTTACAGTTGCAATTTATAACTACATGCATTTTCATATTTTCAAATTTGAAAGATCGCCGATTGTCACTAAGAATAGTTTTGTATTTGGACAAACTTCGTTCTACATCACATGATGTGACAGGAGCATAATTGAAGAATGTCAGGTCGTTTGGTGACAGTTCTGGATCATCTTCGAACGTTTCTGGTTTACTGGAAAGTATATGTGCAGTCTTGCTTATTGTTGAATAACCAGCATTCCGATGAAGAACACTTTCTATTTAGGTTTTAATCTTGTTACTTACTTCACCACAAGATCGGTTTAGTTCATTCTCAGTGCTTCTTACAGTGTCCAACTCGTCACGGAGTTCAGTGCCTACAGCTTCCAGGCAAATTATTGCACTTCAAATTGAACAGACGTTTGACTTTATATCTGTCAGATTTTGTGCTAGAGCGGTAGATAATAAGTCCTTGACAGCTTTAATTGATCTTGACATGCAGCTGTCAAAGTCATTAACCAATGATTGTGTAATTTTCACAATAATATGCCACAGCGTCCAACCATGTACCCCACCGCGTGATGACAGGCTGTGGAGGAGCTCCTTTTTTAAATTTCAGTACTTGAAGAGAGGCCTTGATGAATATTTTCTTTCCATCTGTAATTAGCCTATCTACGTCCAGAAAATTTCTTAGAACTTCTTCAGCCATTCTGTGCAATGCATGAGTGAGGCAAGTAATATGGATCATTTTCAGGTAGAATTTGAAGTCCTTTCACAGACTTCCTCATGTATGGAGCAGCATCTCTTACTAGAAGAAGGACACTATTTTGCTATATTCCATCTGGCCACAACATGTTCATGGAATTATCAAATAGGACAGCTATAGTCGAGTGCTTTGCACTTTCAAGAACTTCACAATCAAGAAGAAATATCTCTCCCAGTTGATCTTGTTTCAGGGTTCCAACTATAAATCGCGATATACCCCCCATCTACATCAGAAGTCTCATCCAAAGAAACCGATATCTTGTTATCAGCAACAGATGTTCGAATCTTATTTGACATATCTTCATAACATGTAGAGAGGAGGAGGAGGATAATAAT